CATGCAATGTGTGGGTTGGGGCGTTACAGTTTCCTTTTAGATGGATTATATTTGTTTGAGACCATGTGGCTACTGTTTTGGATTTTCGGATTTGCAATGACTTATGGAATCTTCATTTGGAATTGAGTTTTATGTTGTTTAGATGCTTTAAAAATTTAATGTTGATCAGTTTTTATTGATTTTAACAGCTAATTGAATCAACTTTAGTGAATTTTCATCAAACTTTTTTTACTCAAAGGGTTTAACTTTTTACCTTAAACTTTTTAGGATTGTTCCATTCTCTTCAAAGTTCATGACCCAACCTTCCAGTTACCATTCTTCTGATTATTCCATTTTCTTATCGACTCCCGTGTATATTTTTCTTCACTTGAGATTTTTCTTTTATTGAACTTTATCATTGGGTTTGATTGTCGGTTAAGTCCTGTATGCATAAACTTGTCTTTGTTGATGGGATGTGTATATTAAGGCCATCACTTCAAAGTACATTCGTTTGTCTGTAAATATGCATATATGTCTGACACACTTATGCAGATGGTTATGCTTTTATCATTTTTTAAATAAATAGCCATACTTCCATTTACTTGCCCAAATTCTGTTCAGCATATAATGCCATATGTTGCTTGCATTTTTACAAACTCTGGTTGCCATTAGTTTTCAAGTCAAGTTTTGTCAAAGCCAATAGAACTTCGTCAAAATATTTCACCTCATCGTTCCCTCGAGTCGGTCAAATCCGCGATTCTTAAACCCAACGCTCCTGTAGCAATGCAGGAGCATCCTACATCGGTGAGGCTAGGGGGATTCGTCTTCCTTATAAGGAAGGGGGGGATCTTACTCCTACCAGTGACGGGAGGGGCAGCCCAAAGCAGACAATATCATGTGGGCGGTTCCCTAGTATCGGTCCAACAATTTTTGAGGGCCTGGATAAGCTTAGGGATTGAAGGTATACCTGCATTTAACTATTTTTTTAAAGTGGTAGAGAACTTTTAAAGTTTTATGATATGTTAAACATCCTCAACCTAATGAAATTTTTGTTTATGATATATTGGTCCATTTTCTAAAAACAATAATATTCACAAAATCTAAACACCATTATCAAGATATAAGTGTATTATCTTTTCACCAGTATCACTATTTTGAAGTTTTGTTTTTGAGCTCAGAATCCATTTATTTGTTATCAGTTGTGTAATAAGAAAATGATTTGCCACAAATATAAGAATACATTGTTTCTTGTTTCAGGTGTGTCTGGGGTATTGATGAAGATCTGAAAAGATCATCGATACTCTAAATGTGTTATTTTTTCTTCAATTTGAGTTGTTAATTGCTTCCCTTTCTTTAGTTGTCTTTGAAGTAAATATCTGATAAGCCTATGTACGCTTTACATATAAAAGAATATTTAAGTAGTTTAGTTGTAAATAAGTGGAAGGTAGTTTGGTATTTTCTTAATAGAATAATAAAGACAATTCCTTTATATTGGGAAGTTTGTTAGTGGAGTTGACATTCTGTTTTATGAGATTGAAAAAGGGCGCAAGCTCTATAGGGAGAGAACCGGCCTCTCGAAAGCTGTGTAACCTTATGTAATTCCATTTCTTTACTCAATTCAATAAGAAAGCTACCGACAACAATCAATTTGCATCAAATTGGTATCAGAGCGAGTTCGATCCAGCTATGGGAACGAGAAGTGCGACAGTCAGAATAGATGATTTGGAAAGCTGTGTTGGTTCGATTGAGAAGAATCAACAGCTAATGGAGAAGAATTTGGAGAAGATTTTTCAGCAATTGGAGAAATTTAGCAACAAAGTATCAGCTAGGGTGATTACATCAGGATCATCGGACGGTGAGGATGGGGAAGAAACGACAAAATCGAAGAGGAAGAACGAGGAGAGGCAGGGATCGAGTCGACTCTTTTCGTGAAAGGTCAAAAGCTGGAAATTCCTTCTTTCTACAGAACCGATCCTGATGGATGGATTCTTTGTATGGAACGCTATTTTTATCTTAATCGATTGACGCAACAGGAAAAAAATCGACGCATCCTTTATATCGTTTGAAGGTACTGCCTTAAAATGGTTTCAGTGGGAGAATCGTCGGCATCCAATTTCACGATGGGAGGATTTGCGTCAATTGATTCTTCGTCAATTCAGATCGGCAGCAACTGGAACCTTATACGAACAATTTTTGGCTGTCAAACATGAAGGTACAGTCGATGAATTTAGGATGAAATTTGTGGAATTGGCGGCACCATTAGAAGGAATCTCAGAAGAAGTATTCATGAGTCAATTCATCAACGATTTGAAAATTCGATCAAAGCCGAGGTACGACTTCTCAATCCAGTTACACTTGAGGTAGCAATGGAGATGGCGATGTATAATATGTTCTGAATTAATATGTTCTTGGGTTTTTTGAAATATATATATATATATATATACATGTATTAATTCAACCTTAATCTGAGTTTCTGGACAAGAAAGAGGGTAAGCAGTTGAAATTTCATTCTAAAACTCATCTTTTTTGGTCTTTTCATGGCTTATGATCTGTCAAATTTATAGTTTTCTTTATTGGTTTTGAGTGTTCATCTTAAAACTCAAGTTTCTTGTTTTTTTTTTTGGGATTTTTAGATATGATTTTGAGGGGAGATATGGAGGAGGTTGAAGTTGCTAATAAAGCTGCTGTTGAGAGTTGCCATAGAATTCTTAGCTTGTTGGCTCAGCCCCAAGATCAGGTTCAGTCCAAAAACTTAAAGATACAAACAGGGGAAGCAATGGTTAGATTCAAGAAAGTTGGAAGTATGATGTTCTGTTGGTTAGATTAAAACTGCTAATAAAGCTGTTGTTTAGGGTTTTGTATGGGGGGGGGGGGCGCATAGACGTAACTAATCTATTTCTATCCAACATGTCATTAATTTGGTAGTAGGATGTTCTCTTTCCCTTTCCTTCGCCCAACCCCTACAACATATATATATAGTAGCATCAACAAATATATGTGGTTATTAAAGCGATTAGACTTGTTTTAGGATATGGTTTCTTTTGCAGGAGAACAGGAGGTGCCAATATCTAATGTAATATTACCGGTTTCCGGTTGCTTCGAGATATGTCGTAGACTCGGAATTTCAATTTCTTGTGAGAAAGAGGAATAAACATACATAATGATTTACGATTAGGAGGTTGTTATGCGAGGTTCGAAGTTCCACATGTTTGTCCTTTCTCTTTTATCTATTTTTTATAAAATTTGTTTGAACCTTAGTAACTGTCTATTTCTTGCTAAAAAGAGGACTTACTGATTAAAATATATTTCTATTTCTTTTTAAAACAGACTTAGGGGTTGTTTATCAAACGCTTACCCGGGTAAGGGCTTATCAAATCACATTACATTATCGGATGAATATGGTAAAGACCAAGAATCTTACTTGGTAAGAGCAAAACAAGAACCAAGATTCTTACCCGGTAAGTGGGTGTAAGTCCACTTTATGATCAATCTTCAATAAATCTTGTAAGAATCCATGGCAATCTAAGATATGAGCATTAAGAACAAGCGAGGAGAGATGAGAAAGAAATAGTCAACAAGTCAAGATCTATAATATTCTCAATCTTTACGTAATGTTTACAATGAAGTTCCTATTCAAAATTACACTAGGACTAATTTGATACCAATTGATAGTCCTTATGATGATCAATCTTCAATAATCTTCAATAGATCCATGGTAGATCTAAGATTTACAATCAAGAACTTGAGAGGAGAGTTGAGAGGATTTGTCAACTTGGTCAACTTTACTAATACGTAAATTGATATTACAAATGAACTCCTTTCAAAATTTACACTAAGACTAAGCTTTATATAGGATCAAAGTTGAACCTTTCAAAGTCAAAGTCAAAGTTCATAAGGAAAGTCAAACACGATGACTTATACAATTATAGACAAAATTAACTTTCAAGACGAATACAATTTAACATTGAAATTCAGTCCTAACATTTTCCCCCTTTGTATTCAGGCTTGAAAGAATTTACGTGGACGATGACTTGTACAATTATAGACAAAATTAACTTTCAAGACGAATACAATTTAACACTGAATTTCAGTCCTAACATTCTCCCCCTTTGTATTCAGGCTTGAAAGAATTTACACGCTTTGAATCTCGTTTGAACTTTGTCTCTTTAAGCACTTCATGACTTCTTCAAAAACAATCTTTACTTTGAGATCTTCAGATGATCTTTTGATGAGAAAATCTTCTAACATTCTCCCCCTCGAATGTAGAACAGCGATGATCTTCTCTTTTGACAATGTAGAACAGAATCAACAATGAACTTCAGAAACAATCTACAAGATGTGATCTTCAAAGAATTTTCAGACAAACAAATCACTAACGTTCTTCTTCAAAAATGAACTTCTTCAGATAACGAACAAACTTTCTCTTCAAAAGAAATCTTTATCAGCAACCTGTTGTAAGGATGATCTTCACATTCAAAAACTCTCAAACATTGTAGCACAGAGATAATCTTCAGTAATAATCTCCAGTTACACTCCTTTGAGTCTTTTGCCGACTTTGATGTTACTCCATCTTGATCTTTAAAACATACACCCCTTATATCGTCCATAATTGAACATTTCATTCATTATTACATACTCTCCCTTATGATAAAATGAGAATCATTAACATCATACAACTGAATGAATGAAATCTTCAGTGAAAGCCGTCAATTCATGAAATGTTAAGAAGATCTTTTCAAATCCACTTGTTTAATCTTTTCAGATTAAGGGAATGAGAAGGTAACACCAATTTCAACGTATGAAATTGTTTTCAATCTTATAAAAAGATTGGCATGTGAGTAGGTATAACATGGAGTGATTTAAGAAAAGCCTTGAGCGATTACTTTGTAAATCGCAGAAGACTTGAACGGATTAGGGTTTACATCGCTTACAGCTTGGTCGGATTTGACCTAAATTTTTCATTTTCTGTCCGGATTTCTCGAAATCGCTCAAAGCTTAACCTAGTTCATAGATTCATTTGCGACTGGTTTGACTTAAATCGCTTGATGAGGATGTGAGGTTTTGCCCAAATCACTTGATACAGTAACTGTTTAAAGGTGTGAAGGGTTTCATCTGGATTTGATGCAATTTCTAAGAGTAAATCGCATATATTCATTCTTCAGATCTAGTAAATCGGTCACTAAATCGCTCAGGTATTGCTCATTCTATTTCTAAATCTCTCAACTGATTTCATTTTTCTCACACAGCAGCTTGATCCATTTTGTTATTACTTGTTTGATTCCTGTCCGGATTAGGTCTAAATATCTCTGTTTGTTTTCGGTCACAGCTAAATCGCTCACCTTTATTGCTGGAGGATTGAAGATGTTGTTTTGAAGATGAAGATGAAGATGAAGATGTTGTGAGATCGGTGCACTTCTCTACCCGAGCATTAAATTGAATTTGCAATTCCTGAAATTGTTTTTATAAACACCACTTGAAACCTGTGATCGGGGTAATTCTTTGCTCTGCTGATTGGTATAGGCAGCCATGGTACTTAAAATAGAAGCAGCAAATGGTGAATCAGTAGTTTGTTTATAGATTTAAAGCTGTTTGTTGTAGACCTAATTGAATTGCATATTTTGGTTTGTTGTGTTTGCTGTAGAGATTGCCGTCAGCATTTGAATAATTGTGTTATGCACCTGTTGTTTTGTTAAGATTGTAGTGCTTCAGCCTTATTTGATGTGCCTGTTGACTAGGAACTCTGTCGTTTGACATTCGGTTTTTTCAATCAGAGTGCTAACAGACTGTCTATTAATTGTTGGATTCTGGAAAGCAGCAAAATTCTAGAAAGTCTTCAAAGCAGCAAACCTTCTTCTGTAATCTTTGTTATCTGAACCTTGTTAACTGAAGACCTATAACGGCCATAGCATGTTGACAGCAGGTGTTAAAATTGGATTGTCTCCATGTAAATTTCTGTGTATATACTTCTGTGTATGGTTCAACAACACTCAACAATGCTCTACAGGTTCAGCTACAGGTTGTTCATGCAATAGATATTCTTGCTGGATCATCTGATGTAATTGCTGCTGAAGATTTGAAAAACTTGATCCCTGCTGTTGGTTCTCCCACAAATTCAGTAGAATTGCCACCTATCAGTTCCAGTCTTCGGATTCTAGTTAGTACTTTCAAGTTGGTATCTTGTTTTAGGCGACTGTTGGGATTTGTGTAGCTTCTTGATCATTTTATTCCGAAGTGATCAACCTTGTCCGGATAGTGTTCCCGGAACCGGATTTGATGTACCTTAATAGTATTCTAATCGGTTTTGGACAAGAGTTTTTGCTCTTAATTCTTGGAATTTTGTTCTTGAAAGTGTTTTGGGCTTGTATTTTCTTGGGTCTAATCTTTTGTTTAGATTTTAAATTTTTTGGTCTTTTTATCTGTTTTGGTCTGTGTTAACTGTTTGAGAAATTTTTGAACTATTTTACGTCGTATAAACTGTTTCTTATCAGTTTTAACTGTTTTTGACTGTTTTTTAACAGTTTTTAACTCTTTTCAACAGTTTTTGACTGTTTTTACTGATTTTATACAGTTTTTTTTTTGTTGTTTTTCTAATTTCTCATCAATTTTTTTTTTCTGTTTTTGTTTTTTAGCTTGAATGTATTTTTGATTTCTTTTAGCTGATTTCATTGCATTTGTTTCTAAATCAATCTTATTTTTTATGGCAGATATTCTAGAGAAAGAGAATAAAGAGATGAGAGCACAAATTTCAAAGCTGGAGAAGAGCATAGTGGATTATAAGGAGAAATATCTTAACAGTTTTTACGAGAACCATGCTAATAAGGAATTCATTGCAAATTTACAAAAAGAGCATAGAGTAGAATTGGATAGAATTGAGAATGATTTCATGAATAAGAGTAATAAACTTGAAAAATCTTTGAATGATGTAAGAAAAGAATGTGAGAATAAATTGAAAATGTGGAGTACAGCTAATAAATATTTGTTTAACAAACTCCAAAAACTCCAAACTGAATCTACAGTTGAGGGAAATTCTTCTTTAAGAAAATATACTGAGACAAAGGACTTATCTAATAAATTGTAGAAGTCTGAGCGTGAGTTGAGTGAGTTACAGAAATTGCTAGAGTTAGAGAAAGAAAAAGCTCTGAAAACTGAGAAAAGCTTCAGTTCTGAAAGAATGAAATTTGAAAAGGAAAAGAAGAGAATGTGTGATTCAGAGAAAAGGTTTGGAGCTCAATGCATATCTTATGAAAATAAGATAAACTCTCTAGAGCTGAATGCAAAAATGCTGTTAAAGCAAATATCTGATTTTGAGCAGCTGATCATCTTGGAACGGGCCAAGAATGATAAAGAGAAGAAAGACATCTCAGAAGATTGTCAGAGCCAAATACAGAGATTATCTGAAAGCATTGTTCTAAAGCAAAAAGCTTTAGATGAAGAGAAGAAGCAATTTGCTCTTGAAAAGAGAAATACTTCAAAGAAGTATACAACTATTGCTAAAGAGCTTGCTAATAAGAAAAAGTGGCTTGATATCACTTTTGAGAATGATAAGAGCAGTGCAGATGAAGAAAAAAGAGAGTTAATAAATCAAAAGAAAAAGTTTGAAATGCTTCAGAATGAGTTAGAAGGTAAACTCTTGGATACTATAAGCAAATTGTCTGATTTGAAGACAGACCTTGAAACTGAGGTGAAGATGAGAACTGAACTTAAAATTAAGTTTGATTTAGTTACTGTTGAATGAGACCAGCTTTTACAGAAAGTCAAAGACTTTTCTTGTGCATAAAGCTCAATTGGTTCTCCATCACAGTGTAAAACTAGCTTCTATGACTGTTCCAAATCGAACAGTTATTCAAGCAGCCCTAAATCTACTGTTTCTAAGAACTATTCTCGTTCTTCTAATCAGTATTATCAAGGGTATATTATCAGATCTCCCAATAAATTTTCTAAGACTAAAAGCATTTGGGTTAATAAAGCTGATTCTGTTTCATCTCATACACCTGTTGTTACTAACTCTGTTCTTCCTTGTATTGTGAGATCCACTAATGATCTGATCAGTCTTAGCAAGAGAAGAATTATGTGCTTAACATGCAAAACCAATGATTTTGTTAATAAGAAAAGGTTCAACAGGTGGCATGAAGATAACAGCTATCAGAACACTTGGAAAGGTAAGAACATGTATGATCACAATAACTGGTATGGGTCATATTCTATTTTTGATCATCCTGTTCAAAGTGCTAAAAAGAATATATCTAATAGGAATAAGATGGTTTGGAAGTTACAACATACCCCAACCCGATAGTAACAAAATAGGACCCAAGTTTGTTTGGGTACCAAAATCTATTTAATCTGGTTTTGCAGGTGCGTCAATTTTTTACTGATCAGAATATCATATCAGTGATATACCAATACAGGATTAGTTGTAATCTGTTCCATAAAGGCTTCTGAACAATACAGTTCAGGACCCGTGCTTTACCGAGTGTGGTTTCTAAACACCCAGTTTAGGAACCGTGCTAAACATGTTTCCATTTTTATTCTTTTGAGCTAAACTGAAACATTACTTAAATCAATTTTCTAGAGGGAGTCTCTAGAAGTTTTTTTTTTTCAATATAAGTTTTTGATAAATGAGTTGTTTTTTTTGGGAACGATTACTTTTTCTGAACAGGTGTTTCCTGAGATTTTACTTGCGTAATTTCTCATCGTACATAACTCCAATACCTGTTTCAGCTATTCTTGAAACCGTTATTATCACGCCTCTTAAATTGAAAATCATTTTCGGTGATAATACACTCGTTTGTAATCAAATGTTGTTTTCTGATATTTTTTCTTTGATTGATATACATTCAATATTTTTTTTAATATCAGATTCTGTAAACTCGTTCTTACAGATCTTCATTCATTTCTCTCGCATATCGAATAATCTGATTGCTGTCGCATCATTTCTTTAATGATTGTGCTTAAAAGCCAAATTTCTTGATCAATTTTTATCTGATCATTGTGCTTATCTGCAATAATAATTTTGATCAATCATTGTGATCAACTGAGTATAAAATGTAATTTTAGGAGGGACTGAGTGATTATCAGAAATACCTCAATGGAATGTCAGAACCGACAAACCTACCCATGAGGACAACCATATCTGAGTGAGTTTTATATACAAAAGGGTTTGTGTGCTGAGACTAAAATGAAAATGAGAGAGGTAGTTGTTGTGAGTTAAAAGAATTGATGAAAGTTGTGTCAGGATTAAAAGAATACGAGAATCCTGTTCCAAACTTCTAAAATCCGGACATACCATACAATCTATTAGTTCTTAATTCTTTCGAGACTAATATTGAAAAAGGCAAAGCTCAGGCTAATTCTTGTCACAACCCCACCAGCTACTCATTTATCTCTCAACAGATAAGTGTTTCAATAACACTTGGGGAACGCAGCTCATCATCCATCAATTTCTCATTCGAAGAAAGTTGATATTGAATCAGAAGGATATATGTCCCCCTTCAAGTCTTTCTGATCACTAATTGAGTCTGATAAATTTGTGTAGTCCACACGGTTTATCTTTTTGAGACTAAACAGAAGCATACATTGCTTTATTTTTCTACGCTACACAGATTTTGCATTTTATATGTTATTTTGCCAAAATATTCATAGATATGCTATTATCAAACTATCGATGATTGAATGGAAGACCTGGTGAGATGAGTCTCAAAAAGTCTCATATATACAGTACATCCGTTGTACTGAGTATATCTGTTATACTCACATGCCAATCTTTTTCAATATATTCGTTGAAATTGGTTGTTACCTTCCCATTCCCTTAATCTGAAAAGATTAAATAAGTGGATTTGAAAAGATCTACTTACAATTTCATGAATTGACGGCTTATGCGGAGGATTTCATTCATTCTTGTGTATGATGGAATGATTCTCATTTCATTATAAGGGGGAATATGTAATAATGAATGAAATGTCCAATTTTGAACATTATAAGGGGAATTTGATGTAAAGATCAAGGGGGAGTAACATCAAAATTGGCAAAAGACATAAAAGAAGTGTGACTGGAGATGATTACAGAAAATTATTCTGATGCTAAAATGACTGAGAGTTGTTGAATGTGAAGATCCATTTTATAACAGTTTACTGAAGATCATTTCTGATGTTTGTTATTGTTTATGATCTACATTGTTAAAAGAGAAGATTATTGCTGTTCTACATTCGAGGAGAAGAATGTTAGAAGATCTTTCTCAATAAATGATTGTCTGAAGATTTCGTGTTGAAGATTGTTTTGAAGAAGATATAATGTGCTTAAAGCTTCAAAGTTCAAACGAGACTCAAAGCGCGCAAATTCTTTCAAGTCTGAATACAAAGGGGGAGAATGTTAGGACTGAAAATCAGTGTATAATTGTATTCGTCTTGAAAGATAAAATTGTCTATAATTATATAGAAGTCTTATTACCTTAGAAAGTCTAGAGCTAAAAAGCCTACACTTAATAAGGAAAAGCATGTAAGGAAATACAAAGATACAAAGAATTATAACAAGTTTACTTGTTATGCTTGTGGAAAAGAAGGCCATTTATCTAGTAAATGCCCTGGTAAGACTACTCTTTTCAATCAAAGAGTTGATC